CAGATCAGCAAGGGCTGTAGGGGAGGGGAGGTGGGGTGAAGTGGTGGGGGGGGGTGGAGCACAATTCACTTCTGGGTAAAATTATACTGAGATAATCCTAACCACATGGATGTCACACACTGATTGGCACCTTTTGCATGCCCTGCTCTGTTCCGTTGACACAATAATAAAAAAAACCTAGGGCTTCAAAAACCTACAGGGATTCTGTGTTTGACATGACATGTTCTAGTCCTACATTCCAGATATTTGCTTCCATGTGCTCATGGTACTTAGAGTTCTACCTTAAGACTATCACTATTAGTAATTAGTTATCACTATTAGTTGCTTTTAAGTGTTTTATACATCTTCCAATAGATTAAATATTTCCCTTGGTCTTTGGCACAGCTTCTATAGCACAAAGCTCATGCCATAAGTCTTCTAGTTCCCAAATCTACTACTTTTAGTACCTTGGATGAATGATGGCAGGACCAATTTATTAGTGTTTGTAAAACACTTTGAGATAAAAAATAAAAGGCTGTATAAAAAAGATATTAATGTCATTCATTTGAGAATTATTCCAAATCACTGGGCTCCATCCTTTTTCTGAATGGATCCTTCTGTACTTCAACCCTTGCGATTAATTTACCAGCGACACTCTCACTAAACTGCGTACTGTATAATTTGTACAAAGTGACTTCTTCTCACTCCTCAGGAAAGAAGATTTTAAAACCTAGACTGCAGTGCAATTCCACTGTAAGACTATTTTTAAGAATACATTGACACTGTGAGACCCTAATATTAAAATGCAAAATGGCAAAACAGGGTCCACTGCAATGGACTAAGCTTGTTTTTACACACCATTCCACAGAATTCAGTAATGAATCTGAAGTGAGACACAGGATGAATATTTGAAGTGCTACTTTATATGTCTAAATAATCAGCAAGCCTTTGACTTTAGGCTTAAGTCGTACATGTTTCACAGTTGAGGGCAAGACATCCAACAAATGAATGGTCCTGTGAGCCATGATGCCAGGGACAACGGTCTACATGAGACTTAACTTAGAGGTAATGTCTGTTGAAAGGATAATGATTTGTTAGCTAACTACAGGGCAGTAAGGATAAGCTTTGCAACAGGCCTAAACATCCAAATTTCTACCACAAGCTATGAAGACAAGAGAATTAATTTAAGGCATGGGTGTCTGATGCCTCTTGACGCCAGTCGGCGAGTCCGATCTCCCTCACTGTAAAAGCGGCCGCACTGCTTCCGGAGCTCCATGGCCACTTCATTTTACTTTTTGGACTAAAGTGAACTTACTAAGATCTTTAGGTTGTAAGGTGTGGCTGGAAGAAAATATCTGTTGCTAAATTACCGCAATATTTGCTTGTAAAGAAAGTAATGTTGACATAACCTTAAAGTAGCCTTTTCTGATTGATATCAAAGTGGAAAGGGACATTTTAGGTCTCTCTCACATTTCAGGCCAATCCTCATTTCTCAGCTAATCCTTAACACAGGTTTTAGTGCATCTTCAAAGGGCAACCATCTGTGCCTAATAACCATTCTAAGGGGCTCCCCACAAGTGGCTCTACAAGTGGACATTTTGCATACAACCTGTTACACACTTCTAAGGTCTTTTGAGGATAAAGGGGAAGGATTTTAACATTACTCATTTTAAGCCATTGGTACTTACCTCCTGCTCCTGTTGAAAGATGACAACTCTACCTCCTTTGTCTCCTGTTGCTAGTAATTCTCCAGAATGGTTAAATTCTACCGTAGAAATTATATCCGCTGCATAATCAAAAAAAGAAAAACAGAAGAACCCGTAAGTTATTATTTCATCTATGCACATTTCCAAAGAGCTAAGAAGTTATAAATAATAACTAGGTAAAAACCAACTTTTCTGAAAATGAAACCTGTCAAGTTAATCTCATTTTTATGAGAGAGAAAATGCTTTGGTAAAATTATACACTACAGGCAAATATCCAGAACTGCTTGCTCTTACAGGAAAAAAAAAGGCCAGGAACAGTGATTTTTCTAACCAACCACAGAACAGCAAAGCATTTTTGGAGTAACTAAAAACCAATTCCTCCTCATCCACAGAACAAAAAATGTTAGCGATCCAGGTTCAGTGATATTCACTACTGTGTTTCAGACATACTGGGTTATTGGTTGTTACAAGCAGCTAAATTATTCCTAAAGCCCTAGTCACACGTAGACCTCAACTGATCATTTTTAGGAACAAGAACTGGGCCCAGGTTCATTACTCATATAAAAAAAATCCAACTAATTAACACGAGTCAAATCTGAAAACTTTGGGCAGAACTGTTCTACTAGGATGGAGGAACACCAGCATCTAAGGAATGCAAGGAAGCAGAATAAAAAACAACTACCGTCAGATTAGGATCCAAATTCAAAAAGAGGTAGCGAGATAGGAGAGGATTCTTTTTTATTTTTAACATACACTAAAAGAAACCCTTATTTGAACCTGGATCCTAATCTGACGGTAGTTGTTTTTTATTCTGCTTCGTTGCATTCCTTAGAGCAGGGCTGGGCAATTATTTGGGCCTGCAGGCCATATAGGCAGTTCTGGAGAGCTGCAACAGCCTGGAGCCCTCACGCCCTGCAGCTCCTCCCCACCACTGCCAACACTGCACAGCCCCAGTCCCGACTCCTGCCTGCCCCACGCCCACTCCAAACTTGTCCTGGCCAGAGAGAACCTGTGCACATAGACCCAACCCAACGCAGCCCATCCTCTGCCTGCTCTGGACCATCAACCCATGCTTAGCAATGGCAGCAGCCAACCAGAGGCTGCTCCTCAGTGCGGGGGAAAAAGTGCCCCCCTTCCCCCCCGCCAGGCCCTTCTTGCTGCAGCCACTCTGAGCCTGCACCTAGGCTGCCCTGCAGCTCCTCTCGGCCACCATCACCACTGCCTCTGTACCACCCAGTGAGGCAGTGGTGGGAGTCGGGTGCAGGCTCCAGGTGGCTGCAGCGAGGACCCAGCAGCAGTGAAGGGGCGGGAATGCTTTCTCCCTGCGCCAAGCAGCAGCTTCTGCCCAGGTGCCCAGTGCGGGCAGGCGAGTCCGGAGCAGCTGTGGGGTGCACCAAGATCAGGGCTTTGCTGGTCCACTCCACCAGGCTGAGTCCGGAGCGGGCATAAAGCAGGTTTGGGTCAGGGCTGTGCGTGCAGGTCCCCACCAGAGCCACAGGGCTGGGGCTAGTGGTGGTGGCAACTGGAAGGAGCTGCTGCCAGCTGGGCTGCCTAGAAAGGCAGTCCAGCTATGGAGCCGCCCCTGCCCTGCTGCATGCCCAGGGAGTGGTGGGATATGCCATGGGCCAGATGGGACCAACGGACCTGCCGTGGGCCAAACAAAGTCTCTCCATGTATCGAATCTAGTCCGTGGGCCATATATTGCCTGCTCCTGTCTTAGATGCTGGCATCTGAGCATCTCCACCCGAGTAAAACACACACACACACACTTCCCAAATAAGAAAATTCTAATATTATAAAAGCCTTAGTCCGTCTGCCCGTCCATCCGTAATGCTTTATTCGCACTCTGGCTGGCTGTCTCGGCAGCCAATCAGTGTTCTTTGCAGTCAGAGACAGATGGCGGAGTGCCACCATGACAGTGCGAAGGGAGAGAGGCAAGGCCAGAGGAGCAGAGGGGGATGGCAGGGACCGGAGCGCCACCATAACAGAGGGGACAGAGCAGGGGGGCAAGGCCCAGGCCCTGGCCCAAAGCAGCAGGGAGGGAGGTGGGGAACAGTCCACGCCATGTCCGAAGGGAAAGGGGGACTGGGCGCAGGCTTCTGTCCCTACCCATCCCCGTCACTCTTGATGGGCTATTTGCTAGTGTTCCAATATTACACTGGGGTTTCATCTGCCAAATATATTGAGTCTTTTGTTTTACACAGTCCTATAGAAAAATGGACAAGTATGTGTAATAATACAGTGCATACTGAATAGGGATCTGAACCAATCATCCCTCTAAGGCCAAAACCTTACAACATAAAGCAGAAGCCAGTTTTTGCATAGGCAATGCAAATGTCATATCTATGAGAAGAATTAAGTCTTATGCCCACAAGGATGGATTCACTTGTGCAAATTTCTAGTAAAGAAAAACCCACATATACTTGTTTTCATGAGTTATGACATGCCTAATGTCAATATCTGTATAGGTATAACTCAGAATTACACTTTGCTTCCTTTACCAAAATGGAAATTACACTGAAAATTTAATTAATGGAAAATGATCAAGTTTACATTTATACCACCACTGCCATATAAAGCCTCAATTTAACTCAACATATCTCTGAAGCTCTGAATCTCCTAAGTAGCTAGTAATACAATATATGTACTGTATAGGGTCAAAGATGACAAAGATAAATAGACAGCAAGCATATGCTTTTCCCTTGTGGATTCTGGAAATTAACAAACCCAGACTCATTTTTCAGATGATAATTTTGCAAATAGAGCAAATGTTAATGTTTTTTTTTTTACATAAACATGTCTAACTAAGACCTTTTTTGCTGCGTTGTACCTTTCATGAAACAGTTTAACAATGTCTGACAATACCTCATCTTTGAGCAGCTACTAGGAAACAGATTTTTTCCATCAGAAAGTTAGCTATTTTCAGGCAGAAAAAAAAGGTCTTTACATTTTTTATTACTGAAGTAATGCAGATGGACAATGCACTGCAAGGATTTTTTCTGGATGTTTTCTTCTTTCTTGCTTTATATTTTAAACAGTCTAAGGAGCTATTAACTTGTATGCTGAGCAGAGACAGCCTTGCCTTAAAATATCAAGGGTTTCTGCCAGAAGTCAGGCCAGAAATAAGTGCTATGACACTAGACAGCAGAGACGCAATGACAAGCTTCTTTCATTTTAAGAGAAACAAAAAAAAATTGTTCCTTTCTTTAGATGGAAAACTTAAAAGAGGCGATGTTGGATGTTACACAGAAATCATCCTGATGTCATTTCAAAAGGCTGGGAGGTTCCCTTTGAGGGCGTTAGAACTGCCGTGTTTTCTATCAACTGCAGTACATAGTAGCTACAAGAATAGACGGCTGTCTTAAAATTGCGCAATGCAAAGACAGCTTAGACGTGCAAGCCAAACTGAGCTGCAAAATGCCCACGTTATTGGGACAAAAGATGCAGAGTCAGATTCCTGGCACGTATAGGAGGATGTCAGATATCCACCACTCAGTACTGCTCTCCAGTGAGCAGCATTCATCGCCACAGAGGGCAGAATTGAGCAGAGCACATGCTATATCTCATCAGAATTATACACAAGTAGAGACAGGATTCAACTGTTTCACTAACAGAATCAAAGTTAAATACGCAGGTGTTATTTAGACTCATTTCTAAAAAGTCAAGCTTCTGCATCGTGCCAAAAAGGAACACTGAGCAATAAAGGCCCATCAAAAAAATGAAATATTCCCTTCACAAACAGGTTTTATGGAAAAAATAAAAGTAAAAATAAAATGTTAAGATAAAAAATAAAGTAAAAATACCAGTTACTCCCAGTCACCAGCATCTCGTACTGCCTGCCTCTCCCTAACGTTCACATCTGAAATTTCTTTAAAGAACAAGGATTTGTGATGATCTAGGTAGATGACTAGTCACAGGGCATGAGCAAAAAAGCAAAGAAATGCTGCATCTGATGATTTAGATGCCAAAACATAAGCAAGTAATAAGCTATCCAAAAGGCTGTTTTCAAAGGTACTAAATGCAAAGCATCTAATCATATTTTCTTTATCAGCAGATCTCAGCTAGTCGTTCTTTTTTTTTTTCCTTAACATAAGTAATTGCTTGGCAGCTCATCTTTGAACAGGAAACTCCAATCACCATCTAGTTTGGGTGAAGACTGCCTGGAAAAGAGAAAGACTTCTACCTTTACCCTCACTAAAAAGCTTAATTCTAAAGGAAAGTACTTAATCAGCTGTGAAATCTTAAGGCCACTAATCACTAATAAAGCCTGATCTTTATATCAGTTGACAAACAGTGGTCCCAGTGACTTGGAGAGCTGCAGATTTAGTTTTACATGAATAATTTAGCATCATAACCCAAATTACATTTCAAGAACCAAACACACATTTCTAACTGAGCAAAGGGGGGTAGGAGGGAGAGGGAGGGAGCAGCACTCCGAGGAGATCTAGGAGCCCAATTCCAATCCTGGCTTTGATGCTGACTCCTCCTGCAGTTTAAGAGCATTCATATAACCCAACTCTATTTCCCCACCTTAAAAAACAGCGAAACTTGCTACAAGATTTTCTGGCGGCTACCTGAAACTTAGCATATATTACTGATCAGAACAGCAAGGCAGGTAATAAATGCATACTAGATACATATTCTCAAAACAAAACATTCTGAAGTTAGTTTGATTTCACTCCCCTTTGAACACAGTTCAGCTGAAATCAATAGGAGATTGTTACAGTCTTTGTCCAAGAAAGAAAAAGAATTGCCTGTTTTCTATGATAGCTTTACACCCATCTTTTATACTGCTTACATTTTAACCCTAAATGCGCTCTGTCAGGCAGTTACACAAAGGAGACCTCCCAGTTCAAATCATGTCTCTCACTTCACTTTTTAAGCCTAGTTCCTCAGAGGGGTTGTGTGTCTGCATGAGTGGTTTGACTAGTAGCCTTCAAGCAGATACAGCTTCTGGTTTGTTTACAGATTCAGCCGCATGAACCCCCAGTGAATGAAGTTTTAGTGCTAGCATCCCCACACTCTACAAAAAAACCAGCATGCTCCTTCGATAGCGACAAGAGACTTAAACTGGAAATGC